GGGTGCGGGTGCGGGTGCGGGTGCGGGTGCCGGTGCCGGTGCCGGTGCCGGTGCTGCTGGTGCTGCTGCTGCTGCTGGTGCTGGTGCTGGTGCTGGTGCTGAAGCTGGTGCTGGTGCTGGTGCTGGTGCTGCTGCTAATGCTAATGCTGCTCATGGAGGTGGAGGTGGAGGTGGAGGTGGAGGTGGAGGTGGTGGTGGTGATGGTGGTGGTGGCGGTGGTGGGGTCGGCGGTGGGGGCGGCGGCGGCGGCGTTGGCGGCGGCGGTCGGCGGCGGCGGTCGGCGGCGGAGGCAGCAGTGGTGGAGGTGTCATGGTGGCTTGCGCCACAAATACAACAATGCCTGACCTCCAGCAAGCACGACAAGGCCAGAAAAGCATGCCACCTCGCTAATACCTACCTATGCCTCAACCTGGCAAGCAAACTGCAAAAAATGTAAGTGCTGCACACTGTACTGGAACTCAACGCGGTCAATAGCACCACCGGCAGCGATTTTCACAGATGCAACTCTCCTTCCAGAAATATGGCACGAAAGACCATGCGCCAAGAAACAACGAAAACACCGCGACTGTCACAAGCATCCTCGGTGGAGTTGCCCGATGTGGGTCGTCCTCGCGTTTGCTGACCTGCTTCAGGAGCAGAAACACGGTTGGTCGTGTCTGTTCAAGTCATGTTTAGTCGGAGATCTTGTTGGCATGTGTGGAACTGTAAATGTGCATGCATCGCAGGGTTTTCGACCCATCCAATATGCTGTTCCTTGACCGCCTGTTCCTGTTTACTCTTGTTTTGGCCTTATCTTAGGTCATGTGCCAAGGTCCAAAGTGTGAACCGAAGCAGGAAGACCGGCTTGCATAAATAGGATCAAAACGCAAGCTATGGGAAGGTTGCAGGGCTGAAGGCCTACGAAGATACCGAGAAGCCAGGAAACAGGACGAAACGAAAGGTGAGTCTGGCTTCAACCTCCCGAAAGCACATCTGTGTCTGGAAGGGGTGGGCTTGAAACCCGTGACATCCTGTGACCTGCGGGAAACGTCTCTTGGAGCCTCTGTAATAATGGGTAATCATGCAAGATGTGGTCAACTCGGGGCCTCGATGGAACTGACTGGAATGTCTGGAACCTGGCCTGCGCACATGCGGGACGATTGGAGCATTCAAGCCGGGTCGTAGCATCAAAAAACAACGTCCCCCCGCCAACGCATCCTGCCTTCGGTGCTTTCAGCACGATCTTCTGCCTGCTGTCGTGGAGCATCACATGGCCTTAGTTTGACACATCACACAACACCCACAATTTAACCAATGAAGCAGGAACACGCTTTTGCCGTCGTCACACACACACACACACAAACCTTCGGCAAGCTGCAAGAGCTTGCTGGACTTAGACCCGGCGATGCTGTTGAGCTCCATGGAAGCATTTTGGGCTCAAGGCTGGTACCATGAGTTATTCCTCTTTGAGCTGCTCGCGGCTATAGTCCATTATAGTCCCAATGACGTGGCTTCAGTACGACACATTCCGATAGAGATAGCACTGTTACAGCTTGTTCGCGTGCCGCTCAAAGCCAGCGAGAGTGCGGCACCAAGTACTACAGTAGCACAGGTGTCGTAATTGTGACGAGCAGATGGAGCACGTCAAAACCGCAAGAGGCTCGCCTGTACATCGCCAAGTGCCCGTGACATTGCCAAGCCAGGTACATCGGTGCCTGGCGTTTGTGTTGGCACAGCAAAGAACTTAAGGAAGCCCATCCACACCACCAGTGAGATCCAGGCCTTTGAGAAAAACACGACGAGCATCTATGCCAGACACGAGCATCTGCCGCACCTAGCAGCTCAACTGGGCTGTCCCACTGCCAAGCTGCACGGACGGCCACAACCACCTCGCCCCCTGCTGCCGCCATTCGGCCTCGCACAAGCCCCTCGCACAAACACCTGGGTCCTCTCGATTGAGCAAGACGAGGCGTCGGCGCTCGGCAATGTCATCAATGTCATGATCGACAGTCTCGAAGAGCACCTTCCCACCGCATCCAAACAAATCCGAGAAGCTCCCCGACACACACCCGGCGCCTTCTGCTGATGGCAAATGACCATCCGCGAGTCCCCGACATGCGCGCAGATAACGACACCAGCCTTTACTCCAGATCATTTGGCCGATCCCTCAAACTGTGATGCATCTTTGCCTCGGCATCGATCAACGCCAATGTGGCCGTCGTCCCTGGACATGCATTTGATGGCAAAAAGTAACATACAGCATCATGCAATTGACCGTCATGTGGGGAATCGGCCAGACATGCATGGGAGCATCGCAATGCAAATAATACTGCAAGACCGTGAAGTCGCATGCCAGGCGAATGATGCTGTATGCTTTTAAAGCCAATGTCAGCTCCCGGTGCCTGACCACTCGGCCAGACCTCCACGTTCCAAACCATCTTGCCTGTTCACTCTTCGCAAGTTGTGCTTTGCAAGTCGTTGGCACTGCAAACGAGCAGAGCTGGCGCCATTGCGAAGAGATGTGCCTTCAAACATGTGACGACAGATTGCGCCAACATAGCGGGGTCTCACAGGTGCCCTCGTAGCTGAGTCTGCAACCATTTGCCGGGGCACAGATGCTTCGGGATTTACGCGCTGGTCCTCTGCCATTGCATGACAGCCACAGCTTCACAGCAGCCGCAACAGCACGGCGGCTTACTGCATTCCTCGGCCATCTTGGCCAAGGCGTCGGCGAAACGAGAAAACAGCATAGAAACGGAAGCTGAGATCTCGTGTCCTTTAGCCAGTGAGATCTTGCGACTTTGTGCATGAGGAGCCTTGCGGTTGAATTTGGAGTCATCATGGCCAGGCCTTGCTCACCGTGACCATCGAAGACACCAACAAGCATCCTGGCTCTGAGGCAAGAATCAAAATCCAACACAGACCACGGGAACTCGCCACATCCACGGAGAAGTCCATCGGTTAGTCAGGGATTATTGCTTGTATTTGTTCGGGTCTACGAGATAGGTTATTTTGTGATTTTAGTTGTTACCAAGAACCGACCACGCACCCGTCCTCGTGCATCCCAGCGGAATGGCGAGGCTTGCGTCCTGGAAAGAGTTGGCGATCGGCTGGCGGCGGAGCTAGCGCAAGTGTGGTTTCCTTTTCCTGCTTCGGTCGATCTATAGGCACGGGCGAAAGCTGCGTCATGCTGCGTCACTCCGTCCTGGTTGGTCCAGTCAGTCTTGTGTGCCTTGCGTCCAGGCAGCGTGTCGGAGCCAACCTGAGCTCTGTTACTCTAATCGGGGCTTCACACCGATAATACAGGGTACCGTCATGGTACATGCTGCAGGACCTATCTTCTTCCGCTCCTGCGACTGCAGAACACATGCCAGGTGCTCAAAACAGGTCCATGGCTCGGGAATATTGTCACTGCAATCGGCTTCAAACTGATGATCTCTTCGACGACAGCACACGCCAGATGCTCAAAACAAATCTAAGAAATCTTCGCCATGCGGCTCGAAGTAGAGAGGGAGACACCACTCCTCAACAGGTGCATGATTGCAAGATAATTACCTCCAGTGGACCTGTCCCTTGTCCATCATGCCAGCACGTGGCTGTCCTCGTGAGTAGCTTGACACATTGCCAACGGCAGCAGAGGGAAGCCTCAAAAAAAAGGTTTCGATCGCGAGCGCGCTTGTGGCAGCCATAAATCAAGTAAGATCTCCGCGGATCACCCAGAAATCCAAAAGCCTCCTCGGCAGTCTTAGCAGCAAAACAAACCTCTGGTCGGAGCTACAAGATGCACTCCAGCTTTCCATGCGAATATGGGGGCAACAATAATGATGCTGATGATGATGATGATGATGATGATAAAGATGAGGATGAGGATGAGGATGATGAGCATGAGCACGATGATAAACATGAGGATGGTGATGATGATGGTGATGATGTGATGATGAGGATGATGAGGATGATGCGGATGATGAGGATGATGATGGTGATGAGGATGACGATTATGATGATAAAGATGAGGATGAAGATTATGATGATAGAGATGAGGATGATGAGGATGATGATGTTGAGGAGGATGATGAGGATGATGATGGCCAGGAGGATGATGAAGATGATGATGATGAGGATGAGGACGAAGATGATGATGAGGAAGATGATGAGGAAGATGATGAGGATGATGATGATGATGACGATGATGATGAGGAGGATGATAAAGATGAGGACGATAAGGATGATGAGGATGATGAGGATGATGACGATGATGAGGATGATGATGATGATGAGGAGGAGGATGATGATGGTGAGGATGATCATGAGGATGATGAGGATGATGAGGATGATGAGGATGATGAGGATGAGGATGATGAGGATGATGAGGATGATGAGGATGATGAGGATGATGAGGATGATGAGGATGATGAGGATGATGAAGATGA